ACCTCCATCTTTTTCATGGCTGAATACTATTCTGTGGTGTACATATATGCCATGGTTTATTAATCCATTCATGTATTGAAGGGCAGATGGGTTGTTTCCACATCTTTGCTTTGATAAAACAAAGGCATACATTGGAGGAAAGAACTGCTATTTAATAAATGGTGCTGAGAGAACTGGTTAGCTGCATATAAAAGGCTGAAACTGAACCCATACCTCTTGCCACTTACAAAATTTAGCACAGCATGGGTAAAAGATTTAAATCTAAGACACAAAACTAAAATCTAGAAGAACGTGTGGGAAAAACTCTTAACAATATAGAATTTACAAAGAAGACCCCAAAGGCAATTTCAGAACAACCACCACAAATAAATAAATAAATAAACGAGACCTGATAAAATTAAAAAGTTTCTACACAGCTAAGAATACAATCAACAATGCAAAGAGACAACCTTTAGAATGGGAGGAATATTTACGTGCTATAAATTCAACAAAGGGCTAAGAACCAGAATCTATAAACAACTCAAGGAAATCTGAAAAAAAAAAAAAAAGAAAAAAAGAGCAAAGATACAGAATCTTTTCTCAGAAAAGGCTGAGTAGCTTTAGCAAGTTATCTAGAAGATCTAGCCATGTCACTGATAAAGGTGGCTAACACTAAACAGCAGATGTTCCATGTGGAGGAAACAGCCTTCTGTTGGAAGATGATGGAATCTAGTGATACAGGTTGTCCCTGCTCACAGCTGCATAAGGATCCCACTTTCTGGGCCTAAGCAAGCTCACTAATCAGCTTGATCACAGACGCTAAATGAAAGAACAAGTATGATCAAGCATCCCGCCTAAGCCACCATTCCCAGAGCAGAGAATACACCCTAAATCAGACACAAGGGCAGTTCTAAAACTAACTTCTGCCCATAAGCCCCTGGTGCCAAACAGTAGTGACATATTTTGGAAATATATTCCATCTCTCCAAACCCACCTGCCAGCAGGGTAGGAAATAAGCTCCTAGACAGCAGGCCCAAATGGGCTACCCCCTTAGGATTCCCCTCTGCTGCACCAGAGGATGTTTCTTCTCACCTTATCTAGAAATAAAATCTATCCTTTTGCTTACTTGTGGTGGTCCATGGGTTCATTCTGCAAATCTCTGAGACCAAGGACCTGGCAGAGAGAGAGAGAGATTCTGGTTCTACTAGGATGTCTATAGCTAGAAAGAAAAAGTCAGTGCCGGGCTTCAGAGCTTCAAAGGACAAGCTAACACTTTTGACTCTTTTGTTGGGGGCTAATGCAGCTGGTGTCCTTAAGTTAAAGCTAATGCTCATTTATCATTCCAAAAGTCCTTGGCCACTTAAGATCCCTTTCAAAATATTATTGCTCCTTGACAATGTACCTAGTCACCTAGCCGCTCTGATGGAGATATATAAGGAGATGAATGTTGTTTTCATACTGCTAACACAACATCCATCTACAGGCCATGGATTAAAGAGTCAGTAAAACTTTTCAGTCTTATTTAAAAAGATAGATTTTCTAAGGTCATAGCTGTCAAAGACAGTGATTCCTCTGATGGATCTGGGGAAAGTAGACTGAAATCCTTCTGGAAAGGATCCACCATTCTAGATGCCAAAGAACATCTGTGATTCGTAGGAGGAGGTAAAAATGTAAACATCAACGAGTCTGGAAGAAAGCTGATTCCAATCCTCAGAAATGACCTGGAGGGATTGAAGACTTCTGTGGAGGAGGATAACTGTGGACATGGTGGAGATAGCAAGGGAAGTAGAATTAGAAGTGGAACCTGAAGATGTGATTGAATTGCTGAAATCTCATGATCAAACTTGAATGGATGAGGAGTTGCTTCAGAGGGATGAGCAAAGAAAGGGGTTTCTTGAGATGAAATGAAGATGCTGTGAAAATTATGCAAATGACAAAAAGGGATTTAGAATAGTATAGAAACTTAGTTGATGAAGCAGTGGAAGAATTTGAGAGGATCAGTTCCAATTTTGAAAGAAATTTTATGAGTAAAATGCTATCCAACAGCATTACATTTCACAGAGAAATCTTTTGTGAAAGGAAGAGTCCACAGATGTGGCAAACTTCATTGTTGTCTTATTTTAAGAAATTGTCACAGCTACCCAACCTTCAGTAATCACCACCCTGACCAGTCAGTAGTCATCAACAATGAGGAAAGACCTTCATGAGCAAAAGATTATCACTCACTGATGGCTCAGATGATTGATGGCTCAGATGATTGCTCAGTTTTTTAGCAATATTTTAAAATTAATGTAGTCTACTTTTTAGACTATACCATTGCACACTTTACAGACCACTGTATAGTGTAAACAGAACTTTTATGTGCTCTGAGAAATCAAAAAATTTGAGTGACTCACTTTATTGTGATATTCACTTTAATGTGGTGGGCTGGAACTGAACTGGTAGTCCCTCTGAGGTGTGCTGTAGTGTGTGTGCCCCTGCAGGCAAGCATGGGGTAAAAATGGCGGCTATGATATGGTGATTATGGTGGTCACATGATACTTCTTTTCCCTGCTTATTTCAAATGTTACTATTTCACATCCTATCCTTAATCACAATTCAGCTTTTAAGACTCAGTTCAAGGGAGATGTCCTTTAGGAAGTTTTCTCTCATATTTTTCCTTCCTTAAATAGCCTTCCTCAGATGTTACTTGTTTTTCTATCTTCCCAATAGGCTGCTACAAGGACCAGATCTTTCTTCTCTTTTACTGGGGCTACCAAAAGTGCTCAGTAAATATTATAGGCCCAGTAAACTTATGTTGACTAAGCCAGTGAAGGAATGAATACTGATAGTATACATCGGCTTCCCAAATAACTTCCCTGGCATTTTAGAAGGCAATAAAATTGTCTATCGGCTTGGGGAAAAAAAATCTCAACTTAAAAAAAATATCAACTTTATTAACTTAGCTACCTTTATTCATCTTTGAAAAGGGTGGACCTTTAAAAGCTTTGGATGCAGCTGTACAAATGAAACATAAATCAACCAATTCCCCAACAGGTGAATTTAAAAAGAAAATTTATCTTACTAGCCTAGCAACTGCAGCCAGCTTTTAAGTAAATTGAGGCCAGAGACCAAATTATTCTTAGGACAAAGAGGAAAACGATACATGTGACTCCAAACTTTGCAGACATCTTTAAAAAACCCTGGTCTAAATAAATTCATCTAAATTTGGATAGAGGAGTAGCAATGGTTAAGTGCTAATTGGCAGAGAAGTCAGTTTAACACTCCACTATTATAGTTCCCAAAATGAGAAGCTTTTAAAGTTGCTTTGTAGTTAAAACCTTTTAATCTCTCTCTCTCTCTCTCTCTCTCTCTCTCTCACACACACACACAGATAGAGCAATGCTTTTCATTCGCTCAGTTCTCACTTAGAAACTGTTAATAAATTTAAAAAGACTTAAGGTTTTCGGGGGATGGGGGAAGTTGTAATCCTACATAATGCAGTATTTTCATCCCTGTCTCTCTGCAGAGGAGTACCCAACCACAAATGGCTAGGTGGCTTAATGATGACTTTTCTTCCTTGGGTTTTGGACTAAAATATGTCATTTGGAAATTCACCAACTTCTACCATGATCTTCTCTAGGTCAAAATTTATTACATCATGTCTTCTTGAGTGAAGAGAGCTGTAGGCAACTCTCTCCACAAGCCTTAAAACAAATCTCATTAAAAGGTAACTGGACACTCTGGGAGGCCAAGGCCGGTAAATCGCTTGAGCTCAGGAGTTCGAGACCAGCCTGAGCAAGAGCTAGACCCCATTTCTAATAAAAATAGAAATACTAGGCGGGCGTTGGGGTGGGCACATGCAGTCCCTGATACCAGAAGTCTGAGGCAAGACGATGGCTTGAGCCCAAGAGTTTGAGGTTGCTGTGAGCTGTGATGCCATAGCACTCCACCAGGGCAATACAGATTCTATCTCAAAAAAAAAAAAAAAAAAAAAAAGTGACTGGATGTGAATCACCGGAAAGTGAGAAATTTCTTTACAAGCGTGCAAGAAAAAAACCACATCTCCCTTCTCCTTATAACGCTGGTGTTTCATTTAACATGCAACCTACTCTTTAAAAGGTACGTTTTCAATTGTCCAGCCACCACAGTCTCAGTGACACTTTCGACTTTCCTGACAACAGCCCCGCAATCCACTAGCGACTCTGTTATTTCCCCACGGATGCCCATCAGCTCCTCCTGCAGAAGGAGACCCCGGGCTTAGCAACAGGTGGCCCGCGGGCTCTCTCCCCGCGCTCTAGGGGCGCTCCCCGTCTGCGTCCACCGAACCTCGCGTCCTGGCCACCGCTCCACGGGCCCCAGAGCCAGGGCCTCGGCCCAGCACAGCCGCTGGGAAGGGGCCACCACGGCCACCTCCTCCAGCTACGAGTCCCCTCCCCTTGCCACAGCACGGACTCTCGGGGCTGTCCTTATTGTTGGCTGCGTCTGTCACTTTGTGGGTCGTGTGACAGGAATGGATGGGCTGGACACACCTTCCGTCCTTCTAGAAAAAAAAACAAAAACAAAAACCCCCCAACCCGTCCAGATCTGCATAGAAAGCGTGAGAGACTCCCCCGGCGCTCCCAGACCTACGCGGCGGGCCGGGGCCACGCGGGCCTCCCCTCCCCCCCACACTCCTCCCATCCCTGAAAAAAACGCCGAACGCAAATAAATAATATCGTCCCGAGCTCGCGGCCGTCTCTCCGGTGCCCGCTCCTCCCCTCCCGGCTCGGCGCGCTCCGGCCTCCAGGGAGGCGGCGGCTCGGGTCGGGTGCGGTGCGGCGTGCGGGGCGCGGGGCGCGGGGCGGGGCGGGGGCGG